ACTTCTTTACTTATTAACTCAAATCTTTCTCTGCTATTTCAGTTGCCTTATAACTAATTGATCTGTTTGTAATGCCATCATACTTCATTATATGCCCCACACTGCAAATTATAGTGAGTTTTTTCAATACGTAAATCTTATCATGGTATGGTTGTCCTTCATCCATGGGCTATTGGTTCCAGGACTCCTGTGGATGCCAAAATCTAGTGATGCGGAAGTCCCTTATATAAAATGGCATAGTATTTGCATATAATCTGTGCATGTCCTCCTGTATGCTTTAAATCATCTCTAGATTACTTATAATACTTACTAAAACGTAAATGCTACATAATTTGTTATACTGTATTTTTTAAATTGTTGTATTGTTATTTTTCATTGTTTTTTTCCTCTAATATTTTCCATCCATGCTTGGTTGAATCCACGGATGCGGAATCTGCAGCTATGGAGCGCTGACTGTACTTTCCTGCTTAAAATCTTACTGTTCAGTATTTTTTCAAGGCTGAATTTAAGGATTTATGCTAAGCTAGTTGTATGAAACTCACTTAGCTACTTTTATCTGTATGATTTTGATGTACAGCCATGTTTTAGAACCACCAGCTTAAGAGGATAGTCTTTAGCATGCTGTGGAAAGTTCTCCAAGGTCTGGCTGTTGGTTATCTTGTTAATCCTCTGCCGTCATTTTCTATTGGGTTATTAAATATGAAGTGTCCGATTTTGAATCAAAAGTTTAGCTTATTATATCTCAAACAAGAAACAATATAATTAATCAAAGTATATGCCTAAACTATCAACACAGTTTTGCCATCTTAATGGTAGCTTGTCTATGCCAGCGGCAAAGAAGCCTGGAGTGCAAGTGGTGTTGAAATCACAAAAGGCATTTGCTGCAGCTTGTTGAGAATTGACTATTTTTCCATGCAAGAAGTGGTCCAAAGCCTGGAAGAAGTGGTAGTCAGTTGGTGCAAGGTCTGGTGAATACGGTGGATGACAAGAGTTTCCAAGTCCAGCTTCTGTAGTTTGAGTGGTGTTGTTTGTGCAACATGTGGTTGAGCATTGTCTTGCAAGAGGATTGACTTGTTACTGTTGACCAATCTCAGCTGCTTAATCATAAGCATCTTCATAATTTCTTCCAGTTGGTTGCAGTAGACATCTGTTGTAATCGATTGATCAGGTTTTATGAAGCAGTAGTGGATAATACCAGCGCTGGACCACCTAACGGACACCATTAGCTTTTTTTGATGAATATTCGGTTTTGGACTGTTTTAGCACTTCATCTTTATCTAATCATTGTTCCAAATGCTTGTAATTGTCAAAAAGAATCCATTTTTCATCATATGTAACAATACAGTGTAGAAATGGTTTGCCTTTATGTCGTGACAACAAAGAAAAGCAAGCTTTGATATGACTTCTCTTTTGATGCTTGTTTAAAATTCACGTGGGACCCATCTATCTAGCTTCCTTACCTTGCTTATTTGTTTCAAATGTTCCAATATTGTTGGAATAGTAATGTCAAACCTTTCTGCTAATTCACATGTAGGTTGAGATGGATTCGCTTCCACTACAGCTTTTTGCTTATCATTATCCATCTTGGTCTCAGGTCACCCACATGGCTCATTTTCAAGATTAAAATCACCAGAACAGAACTTCTCAAACCATCGCCCTGCTGTGCATTCATTAGCCACATCCTTCCCAAATACCTCGTTGATATTTCAAGCTGTCTGTGTTGCACTGGTGTTTCAAGATGGAGCTCATATTCGAAAATAACACAAATTTTTGACTTATCCATGGTTTCACAAAAATTGCTCTAAAAAAATTTGAAAGATAATCACAAGCCAAACCATGTGTTTAAAAGAATGAGGATGTACCTTCACATTAAAAATAAGAAATGTCAAAGTGAAATGTCAGAGACATGAGCTGTCAAACTTAGCACTTAAGGAAATTGGACATTTCATACTTAATAATGTAACTTTTTTTTTTTTTGTACCCTCTACTTTAGTGATACCAAACTGCTGGCATTTCTGTGGATTCCATGCAATTTTAGTTTTGTGTTCATTTGTATTTTCTCTCTTCCTGAAATGTCCTTGCCTTGTCTGTCTGGCAGTTCTTACTCAGTTCTCAAGAGTCATCACTTCTTCTGTGAAGCCTTTTCTTACCTTGCTAAGTAGAATTTGACATCTTCTTCACTTCTCTTCCATTGTACCTGTCACATCGTATTTTATTTATGTTTCCT